TAACGATTGTAATTAAATAATTAAATTAGTAAGAAATAGCAAATTGTATTTATTCGTTAGCTTTGTGTAATTGAAAATGAATCAAAAAATTAAGTTATTTAATTTAGACAATAAAAAAATTGTGTATAAAATAACAGAATAAATTAATGTCTTAATTGAATTAAAGCTTGAAATTTTAATCAAAGGAGTTATTTGCAGGTTAAGCTTACTTTCTACTGCTTGGACCAAAATTACTATCTATGAGTTACTGCCGAGAGTTAGCTTTCTTGTAATAGTTTTAATCAAGTAGGAATTTAAAGAAAGAAAGAAAAAAACTCTGTAGTTGAAGTCTTTAAGAAATCTCAGATCACCCAAGAGATTATAATAACGAAAAGTAATGCATAGTAATATTAATAGTAGTAATACTAGTAGTAGTGATAGTAAATAATAGTAGCAGTAGTAGCGAAAGGGACAATGAAGAAAAGAGAGGGGAACGAATAGAGTTTCCTAAATTGGACTAATTCAAAGGTTTGAGAATCTAGAATTCGAGCCAGAAAGATCTAAGCTAAAGAGGTTTGGACTAGAAAAGGAAGAGGAGATAGCTAATCCTTAAAATGTTTGTAAGAGAATTTTTAATGCGTGAACAAACATGCTAAGATTATATCTGAAACAGCAACGTTGGTTTGATGCATTTTCAAAATTTTACTTAGTCTAACTTTGAATGCTTGATAATTTTGATAGAAATTGCTAGTACTAACACTAATACTGGCATTAATAGTAGTGCTATTGTTGAAAATACATGTTGACAGCTTTGTTTATGAGTTTTTAGTCCAGTCTAAGACTAGAATAGATTTCTAGCATTACTGAACTTGCAGATGAAAAGGAAATGCATTTATTTAAACAAAAGATTACTTAAGACAAAAATGAACAAATAACACTTTGTCCATTAAAATATAAAATTATTGCCATAAACAAACGCAAATCATCTTTGAAAAGTTGACATGCATGAAATATGTCAATATAAGTATTACTTTAAGCTTTAAGCTTTAAGCTTTGTTTAGTCAGCGAAAATCTAGCATGCTTCACTAGCTAATGCTAGCTATTCTTTCCTGCAAAGAGTTAATAAATTAGTTTAATAATTAATTTTGTATACTAAACACGAATTGAACATACTGGAAGAAAAGCTTTTGCAAGTAAATTTTATTGCGCATTTAATTTTTACTTCAATCTCTATGTTAGAGTAAAATGAGACTTAGACTTTTTACCTATTATTATTGTAATTAATATTTTTTTATCACGGCTTTCATCACTGATAATTTTAAAATTATTATCATCATTATCAATATTGTTATGGTGGAATGAATCAGGTAAAGGAACTTCTAGTACAAACAATTTTTAGTGTAACTGCGTAAAGTTTGCTACTGGCAATAAAAGTGTGCTTTTTGCAAATTTTTAAAAGTTAAGTCATTTATTTCTAGCGACTTATTGCCAAAGTAAAGATCTAACTTGGAAAAAAGTTAAGTGTAAAAAGAGTAATGTAATACTCGAAGATCAGTCAGTTTTAGAGACTGCGACAGAAAGAAGAGAATTTTTATTTACTTATCTAAGTAATAATGCGAGGAAATAAACAACCTTAAGGCATTTATGCCTGATTAAAGTAATAAATTCTTTTGACTTAATCTAAAAAGTCTAATCTATCATTGTGACTTTTCTTGCTTACTCAAATTTTTGTTTTTCGCAAAATTTGTTTTTCGATCATTTGAAATTTTTCAAATGCAATGCAATATATTTACTTAATTAATCTTAATAAATTTTTTTTTTAAATAATTCAAAAAATGCAAACTTTACTCTATTACATACATAGTTATTTTTTATGTATGCGAGTTATTTAAAGTAAATGATATGAGTAAAGCTGCTTGGAACGATTTGACAAGGATATTTTTCATTCTCTGTGCTATCAATCATGCTTGATAGGACTG